CATCGAGGTAGCTCCACTTAACCGAACAACAGCAGAGGAGGTTATTCTACACACTAAAAGTATCTTCGCGAGACATGGCATTCCGGAAGTGGTCGTATCCGATAATGGACCACAATACTCCTCTGAAGCGTATGCCAACTTTGCTCGAAAGTTCCAGTTAACGAGCAGTCCACACTATCCTCAGAGCAATGGCGAAGCAGAGTGGGCTGTGCAAACAGTCAAGAATCTAGAATCTAATAAAGAAGCATGGAGATCCATACCTGCATTGCTCTCGTATCGGTCTATGCCACTGAAGTGTGGATTCAGTCCATCTGAACTTCTGATGCCTAGGAAGCTAAGAACCAACCTTCTTACTACCAGAGACTCATTGAGACATGCAGTGCCAGATCTTTCTCTCGTGAGGAGGAGAGAGGAACAGATGAGAGAACAAGCTCAACAAAACTACAATCGCCGACATTGAGTGAGAGATCTGGAACCTAACTGTCTGGATTCCAGACAGAGAGGAAGAAGCTGAAGTGCTGCAGGAAGCAGGAACCAGGAACCAGATTATACGAGGTTCAAACTTCTGATGGTGGTGTATATCGCCGCAACAGACGAGCTCTGGTTGAGATTCCGAACTCAGATTTATTCGATCTGAATGTAATGACCAAAACGAATTCGAACGAATCGAATCCGAACACATCCGACATAACCGATCAACCACGAAAAAGCACTCGGCAGAGTCAACCGCCGAATCAGTATGAGCCGAGTTGGAGAACATAACTATTTTTAATGTGTGTGCATGCTTTTGATTTGGTATGTATCACATGTGATGTGCATGCTTGACCTTAGCACAAAATGTATGCATGAATCTTAGGAGGGGAGATGCGGTGTATGCATAGTCTCATACTTGCATTACTATCACGTGTGCATGCATACATTGTTGTAGGGTCACGTGTGTGAATGATTAAGTTACTGTACTCTCGATATCCGGGAAGAAGCTCAACGTCAGCTCTATCTATATCCGCGCTACTGTGGTAATCCCAGACCTAGAACCCGCACGCAACACACCCATCTGAAGTTTGGGTACGACATACCTATTATGTTGAAGAGGTGCCTCAATGTTTTTTGAGAAAAGGGGAGCTCGGTTGGAGTGCATTCATCCCCCCATTACCAACAATATCCACTTCCCATCAAAAAGGAAAAAAGCTGAAGATGTAAAAAAGCTGGTTTCAAGAATATTCCTAGCAAAGATCAATGCTTCTACTCTGATTTCGCAGTAAACACGGAGAGTGGTTCTGACACAGCTATCATTTTAGTTAAAATGTGTACCAACCTGTTTCATACATCATTATGTATAGATGATAATGAGTAACAAATAGTACAAGTCTTGGAATTCACCCCTAATCTTTGCCACATGATCTTTCGCAAAGAGGGTCAGGCACTGCCTAGCATACGGTGAAGCTAGATATGTCTGCATGTCGTTGTGACTTCTTGTGCCTTCAAGATACACAGACCAAGCGGACCCACCCGAGGTAAGCCTTAGCATATTGGCTTTTTCGCTTGTGTTTCGCCATAACTCTCGAACGCAACAATTTCATAGAAAATCCTACCGTTATCCAACGCTGAATACGGGCTATGGTTTGGACCGATTGCTTGTGGCCCTGGAGGAACAAGGAGCAGACATGCTGCGCACTCACAATGTGTGCGCGTGACGGTCACGCTGTATGTAAATTTCGCTGCAATGGCGAGCGTAAATGCGAGTGCTGTCGAACTTGAGCCCTTAGTAGAGTCATTTACTGTAAGTTTCTGCATTAAAGTATATAAATAATAGTATAAAAATGATATATGAGGAAGCTGGGGTTTGTCAACCCACTCAGTACCGAGAATGTAGTCAGCGAATAGTTGAAGGTCAGAGGATAAGAGAGGGGTGGCACTGCGTGGAGAGAAGGAGTTGCGCACTGATGAGAGGGCAGAACACTGGACAATGAAGTGAATAGCGCTCTCAGGACAGGACCAACCAAGTTTGCACGTGCCGTCCGACGTAGTATTGCAAAACCTGGAGAACTGACTACTTCGGTGAATTTGGTGTGAGTAGTTTGATTGTGAGGCATGTGTAGAGACAATGTCCAGCATGTGCTGAAGGCCGTGGCTAGTTGTGGATGATAATCCAGATGTACCTCGGTGAACCGAACTGGAAGTAGGCCATTATGCTAGACGGTGTCAAACGCCTCTTCACATCCAGGAATGCTAGGAATGCCTTTTCCCTCTGATCGGAACGCCCTTTTCCTTTGATCGCGAAGATGTTGAATAGCCTCTTGTAATACAAGGGCTGTATACATACAGCTCATCTTGAGCCTGAACCCACCTTGAAGGGGATGTATTTCAGCTACAAGAGATGACAGTCGGCTTAGAACAAGCTTTCTAACACTTTGCTGTCTGCGAATAGCAGATGTTCATTGCAGAGGTGATCAGGGCCAGCAGCTTTCCATTGAGGCAAGGATGATATTACATTTCCAACTTTAGTGGGGTCGATCAGGTCAGGCTCGGTGTCAGGGAGATTCCAGAAAAGGTTGAAGATTTCTGCGCGACACTAGAGGGAGGTGTGCTGGATTTGCTCCGAGACTGGAAGTAGAGAGCCCATCCTTCAAGAATGAGAGGGCCCTCGTGCACTGTACCATCGACTGTAATGTGGTTAGTATGGGGTTGGTAGGAAGAAAAGGTGTGGTATTGGAAGAATCTGCGAGAGTCAAGGTCTAGGTCAAGTGAGTTATAGAAAGTCTCATCAGCTCAGCTTCTTGTGTGCTGTACTGTTTCTTGGCTGATTTATAGCCAATCCAGGCTGGGTGGCCAGTGTTACGGGGCTTGCCGACACATACGTATCCATTGGTGGTGAGGTTGTCTGCATCTCTATTTAGCAGCTTTCGGTGCAGATCCCCATGTCCCCAGTCAAGATGTGTTGGAATACTCTGGGTGGAATACTCTTGGAGGTGGAGAGCAGTCGTTCTGACGGTGTTGACAGGTGGCCGTCAATAAGACTGGGTCGGTGGGAGAGGTCAGATTCTGAGGGGAGAGTACGGAGAAGTTTAGAGAGGGGTTGGTGGAGGGCTTTAGTGTAAAGAGAGAGGATATGCTGCTTTGATGTTCGACCCCAGTTCCTAGGGGCGAATGTAGTTGCGAGGCTGGAGGTGGTGCGAACTAACTCTTGGACAGGAGACTCTCGTGGCATAGGAGAATGATGAATAGTAGAGAGGGTACAGTTAGCTCACTCACAAATGTATAAGAGTAAGACAGGGGAGACTGATGCAGATGCGCACAGAAGAAGTTCCACTGGGACAATTGGTGGAGGGGTTTAGTGTAAAGAGAGAGGACATGCTGCTTTGATGTTCGACCCCAGTTCCTAGGGGCGAATGTAGTTTGCGAGGCTGGAGGTGGTGCGAACTAAATCTTGGACAGGAGACTCTCGTGGCACAGGAGAATGATCAATAGTAGAGGGGGTACAGTTAGCTCACTCACAAATGTATAAGAGACAGGGGAGACTGATGTGGATGTGCACAGAGGAAGTTCCACCGGGACAATTAGTGCGACAGGATTCAGCCCTGCTCGTTTTCACAGGTTAAAGTGGGCCATCGTGACAACCTGGATCAGCATTGAGATCGCCGAGAATAATGACTCCAGTAAGATATGGGAGAAGATCCATACGTAGTTTGATACATGACTTCTCTAAAGCTGTCAGTACATCCAGAGCGACTCGGAGAAAATGGAGAACATAAATGTGTAGGAGATGTAGGTGTCTTGATACTAATGCCAATGATCCGATGCGTTGAGATTATAGGATTGGGACGCGTATGTGCTGTTTGCCGAGGGTTTGCACTTCAGTGGTTTTTCATTTTTACTGCATTCACGTGCATCGTGTCCATTATTAACCCTCGGTGCAGAAGCAGCGAGGGTTATGGTAGTTGTCTTGTAAGTGTGTCTGTCAGTCTATCAGTTACGACATTTTCTGCGCAACGAGACAACAAAACAGCGATACCAACGGGTTCATCGCTACACCGGCTTCATTGATTTTCGTACAACTACTGCGTTTAAAAGTTATGGCGTGAAAAGCAAGTGAACAAGCCAATATGCAAATTAGCACAGGCTTACCTCGACCGGGTCCGCTTGCTTTGTGCATCTTGAAGGCACAAGAATTTACAACAAAGGGCGTGTATTGACTCCTGCATGCCATCTACTACTGTAGCTAGCCCGTGTCAGACTCTCCGCTCAGGCTCTCCGCGAGCTACTAGCGTGGAGACCATGAGTAGCATACTAAAAGCCCAGCCCATCAGTTAGTGGTACAGCGCATGCGCAGTTCGCTGAGGGTTTGCACTTTTGTGCTTTTCAATTATAGGCTATGTGTTTATTGCCTCACACTGTTGTCATTCACATGAACCAGAGTACATCAGTGTTGTTAGAAATCACAATATGCAAGTTATAAGCATTGTGTTGTGCGCATTGTACGGTGTGACAAATTGTTGGAGACGAAAATATTTCTGCATTTTCTGGCATGTCAGCTACATGTACATGTACAATATGCTAAGAACTATAATTTCATGGACCAGGGCATGCAGGTAACACCCGTGAACAATGCACCTGCACGTGTATTAACTGATGTGTGGGAACTTGTACACTTTCCCGCTCCTATAGAAATGTAAAAGACCAAACAAATATTTTGCATTACCTACTGTGAATATATTCTGAAACCGATTTGATTTTTAGAATCGCCATGTCCTGATAGTCATGTAACATAAATTTCACTTTAATTCACCGGTATTTCTAGGGAAAAATAAAAAGAGAGTTTAGGTGGCTCAAAATACCAACATTTACCTTACGTTTGCCGAATTTCATGGAACCCCTAACGTCCTGGGAGCGCTCTATGAATTTTGATACGTTTGGCTTGCCATACGCTCGCGGCCGGCCAGAGGTGAATCGCAGCTCCGGCGCGGCGTTAGAGCTATAATCAACTATCTTCTCTACCCGAGTGAGCGCCAAGGGAGACGACGACGCCTTACCGACGTGAGAGAGGGACCTATCTGGTGCGCGCACGACTACCTTCTGTATCAACTATCTTCTCTACCCGAGTGAGCGCTGTGAGTGCGTGTATTATTCAGCTAGCCTACCTGCACTGACATAACTACCGTAACAAGGACTTGATACATGGAAAAGGGATAGTCAGTGCATTAGAGTTAAATGTGGCAGCAAAGAAGCAGAGTTTTATCCCCAAAAATGTAGAAAGTCTGGGAAAACCATAGCAAATTGTATCAAGTATAATGGCCGGTGGCTAAACCCATTAGAATTTGAAAGCCTAGCAGGGCTACATGGTAGAAAATGGAGAGAAAACATCAAGTATGAAGGAAAACCTATTGGTAAATGGCTTAATGAGCAAGATTATGACCCTAGTTCTCAAAGGGGTCAGATCGACCCTGATATCCCACCACCCTCAACAGCATCACAAGGTGCAAACACAGACATGGTGTCACCTGTTGGTGGGGGTGTTGACGGAAGTCCTACACTTCATACAAGGGTGGTTGTGTCAGATACAACCATAACACAGGAGTAGATAACCTGAATGAGACAACATCACCCATTGTGTCGGAAAATGGGGGAGAATCTCCCGAACATGTAATAATGGTAACCAATATTGGTTGGAGCCATGCATGTTTGTAGATTTCACACACTCACTGTCTAACTAGTGGTCATAATTTACCTGTCAAATTGTATAATTTTTGCAGCTTTTTTTAAAACTTGGTGAGGAAAACCCAGCATTTCAAGGCGTTTGGTAAGCTATCTTTTACGCATTATTACAAAAACCTAGTCAGTGAATTTTTGGGGGGCCGAAAGCTCCTTGAGTCTGTCAACCCATCGCTTTTGAGAAATGTTGCTTTTGTACAATGAAAGGGCACTCAGCTTCTAACGCGCATAGATTTCACGCGCTCGCTGATGAACTGTTGTTTAGAGCAACATTGCAAAGAACTGTGTGCCTTGGCCAAACTCGAAAGTTACCATATTGAGTGTTTTTGGTGAAATGCTCTTTGTTCCAAATATGAAATATGACTATTTAGGCTCGTATAAAATCGCTCAAATGCATCAGGGTTCATGTGTGCTCAAGAAAAAATAGTAGGCCAGGAAAATCAGTTTCGCTCGCTAGGAATAATTTGACCAAACGAAATAAACCAGCTATAGTGTAGCTTGAGTCTTTCTCATGCTCGTTCTACAGTGTTAATTTCAGCTTGATACAGCGAGAGTGTTCCTCTTATGCCGAGGGTTTGCACTTTAGTGCAACAATGACTACCCAGATGCAAAGTCAATTTTGTACCGAGGTCGAGTGTAATTCCATGACCTTGCCATGAGGCCAGTTTGAGAAGACTTACCTATAGTCTATTCACGTTGAGGAGTCCACCGGATGTTCGCGCGTGTTGGAATGTGCAAGAAATCAAATTATTGTGGTACGTGTGCTTGCGGAGGGCGTGTTCTGTAGCCACGTGAACCGGGAGTTTGCCGCGAATATCGGGAGAGGTGTTTACCGCCTGAGATCGACGAGTTTCGCGATGCCCGGACGAGGAAAGCGTGTTAATAGCACAGCGAAGACCATTTTTAGATATTTTGAGAAAGATGGCCATAAGAGCAAGTATTCTGGATGGCCAAGCAAGACAGCGGATGCTACTGGCTTCTGTTTGTACACAAACCCCCCTTTTTACACACTCACCAAAGCTTGCTGCCACCTGTTAGAACAACCCTCACATTTGCCTGAGATATACCTTGGTTTTTGTATGCATTTGTGTGTTCTCAGTGTATACGCGTACTTACGCGATTACATAACTTCTGGAATCTGCTTGGTCAAAGCTATGCCATATATATGTATGGGGAATTTGTTCTGGCCGACCTATGATACTTACGACGCGCAAATGCTACATACCGCTGAGGTCGGACGCGCGATGCAAACACAACAGTACTTTATTAAATTGGAATGGCCCTGTGAGGAAGGTACAAGCTAAGCTCATAGTATGCGGAAGTTATTCAAGTGAATCCACTGGACTCCTCAACGTGAACCTTCTTTTTTGTGAATGATGGTGTATGTTCTGAGGTGGCATGTGTGCTAACTAAGTGATTTCTCTCCTAAAGCGAGGAAATGACAATATTCACTGAAGTGATGGATGGAAAAGTAAGGATGCGGAATGACAGACCGTTTCTTCTCATCAGTAGCACAAGTTGGACAAGTAAGTTTAGTGGCTATTTTAGGTGCTTATTCACTTCATGTAACTCAAAGTATATATCAGCATTTTGTGCTTGTGAAGATTGAGCAGTTCCTCAAGTTTGTGCGAAAATATCAGGGTATATGAACACAGTGTCAACTCACATTAGGCTACATTTGATATTAGTTTTATGGGCACTCAGACTGTTTCATCCTAATTCTAGCAGCCACTGTTGCTGTTTTACACATTAGCCATTGCCAATTCCCCGATCTCAGCATGGTTCATAAGAGAAAGAATACCTAGTTGCACTTGCAACAGCTCTCTTTTCAGCACACCTAGGAGTGTTAACCCACCACGAGTAGGAAGAGTAACTTCTTTTGTTGTGTATTAGCAGAAGGGTGGGCCTTGTGACCTTATAGCAGAAATCCAAAGTAAAACGTAAGAACTCGAGCAGAGGTTCGTGTTCCAGCATGGGCGCAGAGTAATATACTGGCATTCACATTTCAACCCTCAGTGCGCAAACGAGGGTTAAAATACTCAGTCTGTGTGTGTGTCTGTCTGCAGCTATTCGGGCACTACAGGCTTTGGGGAGGCCAGTGACAGATACAACTGGGTTCATTACTATGTGATTAAGAAAAAATAAAGCGCAATATTCATGAAACAACTGCGTCCGATATGCCGTAAAACCTGCGTGAAAGTTCACATTAGCCTGGGATGCACAAATTTACTTGGAGAGCGAGTATCCAGTAAATGCTAATCACTGATGCTGTTAGCCTGTTTCGATCAAGAAACTGACATCACCAGTGATTAAGTGTGGTCAAAACCCACCAAATAGCAGTGCTCTTTGTGCATGCGTAGTGCATACTAATAGCCGCTGTGGGGAAGGTCTGCACTAGTGCTTTACATTATAGCTTTTGACTCACATTTTACACTTTGCCTTACATAGTACACATATAGACCTTTGTGGATAGAATTTCGTTCCTCCAACTAAAGATTGTGAGACAAAAAATATGAAGTATATAAAACAGCATGTGACCTTAAAATATTGCAATAGTGTATTTTTAAGTGCGTAGGTTCTTAAAGAACTTCCTGCGAGCACTTGGCTCTACTTTTACACCTACGCAGAAATTTATTAGCTTCTGCGTAGAGAAACAACGGTCTCAGCCTTTCAGCAGCCAATCAGCGAATTTCAGGTTATTGGGTAAGAACCTGATTGTGGTATAGCTCGACATTGCCCGTAGCCAGTTAGCTCCCAGTTGGAATGGCCCATCAGCGACTTTCAGGTTATTGGGTAAGAAGCTGATTGTGCTATAGTTTGAGAATTTGCAACATTGCCCGTAGCCAGTTTGCTCCCAATTGGAATGGCCCTGTGAGGAAGGTACAAGCTAAGCTAGCTACTAAACCACTACGTTGTGTACCTAGCTCACCTGTCATAGGCTATTATCTTGCAGAAGTACAATCGATTCGTAATCAGTCTTGTTGGCTGTGCCTACACTATTGCATCATGTGTGACCTCCTACTCGGCATCTGAATCTTGTAGTACTTACTGAAATCAACTGGTATGTGCAGCAGACATGCATAATTAACTCCACCCTGTATAAATGTGATGATTCTAAGAAACAAATTCAAAATGTTTTGTCAAGGAATCATTGAAGAAACTCAAGAAAGTTTGCTGCTTATGTGGTGGACTAGTTAATCTACGTAACTTCAGATTCTGAATGCACTATTGAGAAAAGTATGTCCAGCTCATCAGATAGCAGCACTGATCCTCACATGTAGTTGACTTGACTCTACCTCGCTACCAAGTTGTTGAGACATGTGTATGATACGTAGTTGTTGCAATGCGTATAATCCCGCGTGTGTTAGTGCACCGAGGGTTTGCACTTTAGCGCTTTTCATTAATATGTATGATTCATCATGCATGAGATGCAGATAATTGTCGCCTGCAGGGGTGGTTAGTTAGTGAGCTGTCAGCCTGTGTTTTTTTTAACGAACTGCTCAGTCATGGACTCGCTTGCAAGCCTTAGAGCTACCAGTGTTTTTGTATGCCTGCTGGTGCATGGTCATAAAAGCTCATGTTAGCCAGTTTGTTGCTCGCATTGAGCCTGACAGCGGAGTGAAAAAGATAGTTTGCCGTTTCTTGTTGTCTTCCAAAAAGTTTTATTTGCCTGTATTGGTACACCTTCTTTAATTCCCGGATCCCCCCTCCCCATTTAATGCTAACTGCACATTCAGTTTATAGCTGGTAGTACCCTTGGTCCTTACACTGCTACCTTCAGCCTCCTAGTGATCCTCGGGTATGTTCCCTGTGTGTACACCTTCTATGCCATGAAATATTAGTCCCTGTTGATGGCCTTGTCTCTAATCACTAATGCAGAAGACGAGGACTTTGGCATCCTGTTGGAAGCATTGGATGGTATGATATAACTGTCAATTGTGTAAACTGCCACTCTTCATAGGGGTTTTGTTTGCTATGATGCACATGTTTGTATGTGTGTTTCAGCTATGAAAGGCAAAGGCAAAGCAAAAAACTCAAGTACACCCAGGACAGCATGCATAGTCAGCCATTCCCCCTGGGTTTTATGTATGTACAGCCCTCTTTACCCTCTCTCTTTCTAACAGGCGTGAACTGTTTAATTTTTTTCCACTCAAGGCTTTGCGACTATGTATACAATTGTTTAGTGTATTTAACCCTCGCCATGCATACGCAGCGAGGGTTACAGTACTTTGTCTGTGTGTGTGTCTGTCTGCAGAATTCTAGTGCTAAGAAACGACTTAGATATACCAATGGCTTCAGAACTACAGAATTTTAAATGTCGGCAGATTCAAGTTGACCAATCTGATTGTGTAAAATGTGGATTCTAAATCCTGTATTTTCCAAGTGCCTGTTTCCACGGAGATGCCCACCAAAAAATGGCGTCTTCGATGGGGGTGTGGCAAGCTTCCACACAGAGAAACTCGCCCTGTCACTCAGAGTTTGCTGCAACGACTTCAAGCTCGCTGCTTCTTCGACGAAAGGCGTCTCTACGATGCAAAAAGAAAGTGAAATGAAAACTGTTTTAGGGTCTCGCGGAAGACGACGGACTCGGACGATTTGACGTCTAAATAGGTGATACTGCTTGTCAACAGAAATACACAGCTACAGCTCAGGGCCCCTCGGGCCGTCTAAATCGCGTGTTACAATTGGCGCGCAGTATAACCTATATAAGGCCACTCCAAGTTGCATTCCGGTTTCTGGTCAGGGCTTCTTCAAGTCAAGATGCCTTATGTCATTAGCTAGTAATATGACCACAAAGTTTCATTGTAGGGAACGACAGTCAAAACGAGTCAAGTGTAAAGCCGTGAGTACTCACCGCACAGCATGCGCAGGCCAAAACTGCATTCTCTTGAAATGGGTGCGGTCGGCGGACTAGAAACCGGTATACAACTTGGAGTGGCCTAATATATATATATATGAAAGCCTGAATAACAAGCGAAAACATCCAATACACATAGTCGCACTGGCTTACCTCTGCATTATCTGTGTACCGTGGGGTGCACCCATCGTCCGATGCCTGCCGCGCTTGGTTGGGCCAAGACGCCGAGGGTACTTGGGACACAAGAGGTCACATGGAACAGTTTATATTGACTCCCGCATGCTATCTAGCCAGTGTAAGACTCTCGCGGGAAACCACAATTACCTCATAGCTGTAATGCACATGTACACTGTGCTCATCATTATTATAGGCTTCTTTTGCTTACAGAGTACAACAGAGCTGCTTGTGATACTACTAACATGTTGCCCAAAGTATTTTGTGTCATTACTGGTAAGTTTACTATGTTCATTGTACTTAGTTTTGTGTTGGAGTCTGTCAATGCTCTCTTTTTGTCTGTACCCTTGGCAAGTTAAGATTGCAGTACTTGGTCTCACTGGCTCGGCCTATAACGTGTTACAGCAGGGCTATAACCAGTTACTACCAGCTACATTTGAGCTATAACCAGTTAATGCAAGCCTACAACCGATTTCAATATTTTCTACTAAAGTGTGTGGTAATCGATATTTTTTTGACTAGAAAGCTTGTGAATTTCATTTCTGATCTTTAGCTATTGTCCATACATAAGGTCGTAAACCCTTATGCGCAGTGACATTCTCTCGACCTCTTGCAGCCATGGACTAATGGCCTGGCACAGTTAGCCTTAAAACTAACTCTGCTATGGCACAGTACACTCTCACTGAGCATGTACGTATGAGCAGACCGGGGTAATTAAACCCGCCCAACTCCAAACTAAGTGTATGAATATGTCATCAACATAATGAGGTCAAAGGAAAGCAAAGGCAAACAGCTATGCCCAGGACCAACTCCTTTTTCGGAAAAAAAAGGGCTGGGATTCTAACCTGTTTTCATGGGAGTGGGACATGCACGCACATGATTAGTACAATATAATATTACGAATGCATTTCATTAAGTGTTTCCCCAACATTTTCTTTAGGAAAGGGACCCTTAAAAGAATATTATATGAGAATCATACAATCAAAGAACTTCTCTTGTGTGACGGTATGCACTATTTGGTTATCGGCCGAGGACTATCCTGTTCTTTTGGGTAAGTCATTGCTACGTATGTTTTTACAAAGTCTTGGCCATCAATAATTACTTGACTGGATCGGTGGACTCGACTGGTCCACTGGACTCATATCACCACACCTATAGCCCTACTGATTGTTTCAGCAACGACTAGGATTGCTCCACGAGCCCTCGAAAGAGACCTTATCTTCTTTTTGCATAATCTGCAGTCCAAACATGCAACTGTCTGGGCATAGCCTTTTCACCATGGGAAGAGAGAGGTTGTGTGCCTGCTCCACTCCGTTGTTATAAGCAAAGCAACCAAGCTTATGGAACTTGCCAAACTGTGAATCTGCGGAGACAAGATGCAGTTTAATATTGGCTGAACAGGCCAGTGTGTGGTTCGGTTGACCTAGTCCTTCCAGAAACATTGCAGATGCTGTGAGTAGGGCCATGAAAGGTGCAATTTCGAAGCCACCGAGTCCAGTCAACCCGTCTAGTCCAGTGTTTGTTGTATGTGCAACTCCATAATTGTTTTCAATGCTGATCTGCTTGCTCTGTTTATACACCTTGGAGGCACATTAAGCTACAACGAGGGGCGTGTATTGATTCCTCAAGTGTAAAAAGCCTCTTTCATCCCATAATAATCAACCCATTTTACAACAACTTTCAGCTCTACTACTTAATTGAAATGTTGAGGAAAGGTAGGCAGCGATTCTCAGCAATCATCTCTTAGTAGGGCAGTAGCGCCTTTCCTACGCCAACCACGTACCTCCATAGTCCCTTTGCAAGCAGTAGATGTCGCATCAGGAAATTCCAGGTAGAACCCTTCAACTTATTGATTGACCATTTTTCATCCGCTTCTGCCATCATAGCAGGTTCCAATAAAAATATCTCTGAAGTTGCAAGCAGTAGCTCTCATGAGCTTCCAATGATGTCGATACAGTTCTCAGAGTCCTGGCTAGACAACATTAAGAACAGCAGTGAAATGGGCGAGTGATACATAACTCATGATGGTAAACAGATGTTTAGTTGTAATTTTGCATGCGGTTAAGGTGTATCTTCATCCTGTAGATTATAATCTTTCAACAGAAAATACTCCCCGGTTTTCCTAAGGCAGACAGGTTGGTAAAAGGGGGTTTCCGTCCTCTCCGCAAAAGATGAGTTTGTGCATCTGTCTCCTTCCTTTTCAACTTCATCCTATTTGCAGTCATCATTAGCTACTGATAGTGCATATTGCTGTATGGTTTCTGTGGTTGGATGGGTATTTATCAACAGAATGCCATAGGCATAAGGGTGAGTAGCTCCACATGTTACACACTCAGTGCACCTGCATCCTATTTTGTAAAAAGGTGTTTCAAAATCTTCCAAATGTTGCTACTGGTAATAAAATCCCTTTACTAAAGTTTATGATGATGTTCTAGAGGTCAGGGAACCAAACTGGATCTCATAGACTTGACTTTTCAGTGTCTGCATCGCGGTTGCACCACACAGCCCATACTTATTATCAGCATGCAGCAAATCCACACCCATAGGGGTGGGAAGTGAGATAAGATTAGGGATGGGATACAAGGAGCATGGTTTAGAAGCAGTTGTGAGCACGCTGACACCCCCAACCTCATTACACAACCCCTATATTTTTTACTTGTAATGCTCCTCTTAAACTCTTTTTGGTCTATATAACGGGGTGGTTGCTCAGTAGATAGACGCTTTTCCACTCTGTTAGTGATACAACATTGTTGTGACCTGTATTTTCCAAACAATATTATGCAGGTCCTGGTAAAGCACTTTCGGCTTGTTGTTAGCTAGTTTAAGGAGTGCAAAAGTAAAGTCCCTGAGGCTATTTTTTGTGATGTATACGCATGCGTACCAATATTCTATGTTTCTTCTTCTCCATGCGATGCTCACCCATACGAAGTTCGTAGGAGTGAAGAAAGAAAGAGTGCCTAAGGCTATTTACAAGTCGTGTGTCCGCCATTAAATAATGTAGTGACGCATGTGTACCAACTGTTCATCTCATGGCATGCTAACTAGTTGAGGCAGTAGAAGTATTTAGTGCCTGAGGCTAATTAAAACCATGATATCTTCATGGAACTGGTGTGATGCACTGCATACCAAGTGTTTCATCAATCTCCATGCGTGCGTACTTTCATTTCGACAGAGTGACAGGAAAGACTTAAAAAAGACGACTCCCGAGCTTGTTGATGTACACAAACTTTCATTCACCTAGCGCTTACCTAACACATGTGTGCCTCATTGGTACATTTACTGTCATGCGTGTTGTTTTACAGCAAATAATGCTATGGTGTTTCACAACATGAATCGCTTTAATTCTGTTTCGGTTTTGAGCGAAAAGATGTTGGATGATGAACAAGCGGACCTATACTACAGCCCTATACATCTACTGTATGATTAGGATACCTTTGTTACCATCCCTATAATAACAAAGTAATAAAAAGTTCTGCTGCGAATTAAAAAGTGATGGAATATAGGATGCCATCCAAAAGCAAGGAGACAA